CTTCTTTCTTTCTTTCTTTCTTTCTTTCTTTCTTTCTTTCTTTCTTTCTTTCTTTCTTTCTTTCTTTCTTTCTTTTTTCTTTTTTGGTACCAGAGATTGAACTCAGGACCTTGCGCTTGTGAGGCAGGTGCCGGCACCACTGAGCTACATACCAAGCCCTGGTCTGTTCAATTGTTGATCCCCTTCCATTTGCATAAGCTCTATTTCCATATTTTTCTTCACTTCTTTTTTTCTAATCCCCTTTCTTTTTCCTTCCCCTGCCATTTCTTGTTCCCTTCCCCATTTGAAAAAGATCTTCCAGGGGCCGAAGATTTAGCGCAGTGGTTTCGCCACCTGCTGCGCAAGTGCAAGGACCAGAGTTCAATCCCTGGTACCAAAAAAAAAGAAAAAGATCTCCCTGCTTCCTATTATCTATCTTTTATTTTGCTCTTTATTTATACTTGGGATTTCTCTTATAAAAGAAGCCATGTGACATTTAAGTTCGTGTGTCTGATTTATTTCACTTAATATTATGGTCTCAAGGTGCATCCATTTACTCAGGAATGCCTCAAGTTTATCATTCTTTATGGCAGAGGAGTGCCCGTGTTTATAGCAGCACAGTTTATAATAGATAAATCTTGAAAACGGCCTATTTGCCCATCAGCAGATGAATGGATAAAAAAACACGGTATTTATATGCAATGGAGTACTACTCTGCCATTTAACACACTTCTTTAAATCACGTGATAGATTTTTAACTTTTTTTAACTTAGCCTCTTCCAAAGAATTTACATAAAAGAGGAAATCATGAGTTTGGTGTGCCAGGTTCCTCTTATTCTGACGCATACTAAATGAAGCATGAATAGGACTGTGAGCGTCACTCTCACTCCTGGATCATCTCCCACACCAGCATGGTGCTGCTCCCCTGAGCTGGGCTTGGACAGCCGGAAGTTATTCCCTGTTCCCATGCCTGGTTATTGACACTGCTCTGCCGGGCGAAGTCCTCAGCATGCATTCCTACCAGGCCAGACCTGCTGGAGCCAGGATCTGTTGTCAGCATGTGTCAGGACTCAGGAGGAAACTCCCATCCTGGCTGGGGAGAGACCCCCCACTCCCGCATCTCATGCCCTGTGGCCTTGCTTTAACCAAACATGTTCACTCTTGAGGACCCCACACCAGTGTGACTTCCTTCCATGCTGAGCCTTTCCTGAAGCCCTAAGTCACTTCCACTCCATTCTCTGAGAGCCCCTGCTCTCCTTGGGAGCACTTGTCGTTGGTCAACATTCGCTGATACAGTATTCAAGAGACTATATTTGATTTCCTTCCCTGCAACGCAGAGGAAAAGGCCAGCACCTGCGCTCAGTCCTGTATCCTCTGATTCAAAACCCAGGCTCCCTAATTCTTAATCCCTTTTCTCAGTTGCCTATAGCCCCACAGTTTTATTCTTACTGCTTCCCACACCCCAGGGCCCTGTGAGCTCCTGGTGGTCCTCACTGAAACAACAGGGAGGCACAGTGGAGGAGGACAGCTTCCAAGCCAGGAGTTGGTGCTGAAGAAGGTGATTTGACCTCACCGTGCCTTAGTCACTCCGGCTTCTCAAACATCAGGGAGCACCAACATCCCCAAGACCTCCTCAAAATGCAGATAGCCAAGGCCCTCCCTGCAGTGTTTGATTCCCACATTTCTGGGGTGGGGCCTGGAATTTGCCTTTCCAACAAGTTCCCAGGAGATTTGATGTTATTGGCTAGTGATTGCACTTTGAGGATCATTATCATAGCCATTAGGGAAAGTAAATGGGGATTAATTAAGATAAATTATATAGTACTGTATAGCGCACAATGAGCACTTAACAAATGTTAGCCATAATACCATTTATGGCGGAGAATCTAGCCCTTTAAATTCCTGACAGGTGTGTTAGAAAAAGTGCGTTTTTAAACCAGAACTGAATCCAAGGCCTAGCCACATCACATCCTTGCTCTGGGTCCTGAGACAGATAGGGGACACCATGGTGGGACAATAATTGGACCAAGGGCTAAACTGATAGAATAAGCTTCCAGGCAGAGTAAATGCTGACCCTTTGTAGCATGGCACGTTTCAGCAGACCCATCATGAGACCCTGATAGAACCACCAAAGCAGGATGTTCGCATGAAATGAGAAAAAACTAAATAAGCCTTTTAGCTTCATTTGCTCTTAGTCAATTTAAGATCACTAATATTAGAAGTGGTATAGCTGGGCAACAGGTTATTAGCTTCTCACTGGCTTTGCTGTGTGGGTTGTGCTAACAGTGCCTGGAGTACTTCCCCCGGGACCTGACAGCTGCTTTTGCTGAGAACATTGACCCTTCGCTCGGGCCTACAGATGTCTGACGGGTGATTAAAATGGGATCAAAGCTTGGCATCTCTCTCTTCATACTGTGTCTGTCCCCTTTGCTGTCTTAACCCTCGGGTCAGATTCTACTCAGCTCTGCATAGAGACGCATTGATCATTTAAGAAACGAATGGTTTCTTATTTAAGGAATGAATGAATGAAATATCCAAGACTATGATACAGGGTCAGCGTGGCCTCCTGCCCCTGGGAGCTGGTCTGTGTTTCCTCCAGCCCAACCTCCTGGTTTCTCAGCAGCTCAAGCCCTCAAAGACTTCCAACCCTATCATAAGGCCAGGACGCATATGTGGGATGCTGATGCCAGCTGAGAGAGGAGCTCAGCAGTTCCTGAGCACAGTGGACCAAGTGTGAGCCCACCGAGTACAAGGCTGGGGTGTCTCCCACAGGATGACGGTGCCAGGTACCAAAATGCCACACTTGATGGTGACCACCTGGTAGCCAAATCCATCCAAGAAGAAACATTTTTTTTGGAACTACATCCCTGGCCAGGGGAATTACAAGACCTTAGCTCATCCCAGCAAATCAATAGAAACCTATTTCTCTCTTTGTTCAAGGAGCAGCAGCTTGGTCACTGTCTGGACCAGTTGTTGGTCCCTTCAGCCAAACCCTCATTTGGCCACCCCCCCATAAAGCTTTGAACTTAGGTATGTGCTTAGCATATTTGAGCCCCTCTCATTTCTACTATCTCCAGGTCTAAAGATTCCATTGTTTAGTGTCAGGATCTTGGCAAAATCACCTGGCTTCTCAGATCCCCAGTATTCTCATCTTCACAGCTTTGTTCTGGGGTCCCTTCTCAGGACAGCCTGAGCTTCCTGAAGAGGCTCATTGTACAGCTGGTCCCTTACATCTGTTTAGAAGGCTGGAGTGGCAGAGCCCAGCATGCATGTGAGGGGTGGCATTCTAGGCTACAGAGGCTCGTGGACATGTGGATCTGTTAGTCCCACTTGACCTGCACAGGCCAGAAGGTCATGTCAGAAAGCAGACCCAGGCGGGTGTGGACAACAGAGTGGTGGGGACTGGGGCAAGTGGGAAGCGTGTGCCCTTCAGAAGGGACAGTCTGCCCCCTTCACTGAGTCTCCTGCAAGTGTGGGCCTGGTGTTGTCAGAATGCCTGGCTGTAGCTGAAGTAGGAATGAGGGTTGTGCGAAATCACCCAGAAACCAGACCGAGCCAAGCCTGCAGCTGCCAGAGAAGGGACTACTTAATGGTGGTTGACTCAGGCTCAAGTTCAGAATCCCTGGGCTCTCGCCCCCGTAGAGGGCCTAGCAGAGAAGGAGGTGAATCCCTGGGATCACTCCAGAAACAGCGGGATGGCAGACTCCCCAAAGACCCAACAGAAACCATCTGGATCTAGACTGGTATTTAGCATCAGGACATTTATTTCATGTCCCTATTGTACACATCGTGGGGCCAGGGGCAGGGGCAGGAGGCCAGGCAGGGGGTAGCAATAAATAACACGGACAGACAAAGCTCCCCCAAGACATGTGAGGTTAAAGGATGGTGGAGGGGAGCCAAAATGTGGGGGTGGGAGTGCAGTGGGGAGGGGCAGCTGGGAAGGAGAGGGAGGCCAGGCCCCAGGACCTCACTGTCCCCTGCCCCGTCCCCTTCTGTCCCAGCCCCCACCACTTTGAGGAGGAAGGGAGCCCGCAGCCAGTGAGGGCCAGTGAGGGTCCTGAGGGGGGAGGCCACGTGGGCTGCCCCTGCTCCCTCACTTGACGCGGATTTCAGCATACTCAGCTAACTCCTCTGTCAGGGTATAGCTGTCCTTGGTGGGTCGTTTTCCCAGGTCTGAGTGGGAATAACTCAGGTCCAGCTCCGGGGGTTCCGCGCAAAGGCCCAGCAGCCTCCTCTCAGATCCCAGGCGCCTCTCACTCTGTGGAGGGGAAGGCAACTCATTAGCAGAATCCTCTCCCCAACTTTCTCCATGCAAACACGGGAATGCTTACGTCCCCATCACCCTAGAGCTCAGCCCTAAAGTGCTGGGCAAGTGCCTCTCTTGAGGATCTCCATCCCAGAACACCCCAAGGTCACTACTGCATTTCACTCTGGGGCCTTTGCTGATGCTGATGCCCCAACTCCACAACCTCCTCATCGCGGAGCTTGAAATCTGCCTACAAAGTCCCCTCCTTCATGATGCTTGCTTCAACATAGGAATGTTAGGGGTGCACGGGGCAACCCGGAGCACCTGCCCTACTCAGTCTCCAAGGTCAGATCTTTCCAAAAGCTTGCAAATGCCTGCTTCGGTAAGCCCTTCCCCTCCTCAGTCTGGGAGACCCTGTAGGTGCTGCCTTGGCTTCCCCACCATGCTTCACACCCCTCCCCACCTTACAGGTGCTTAGACACACGCACACAGAACGAGGACCAGAGACAGCAGAAGCAGCAACGGGACAGACTTAACAAGAGACCGTCTCGGACGCCTGACGAGGACGCACACACGGACACCACCCCAAGGCCCAGTGCAGGCCTGGAGGCAGGCACACTGAGGCCCCAGAACCTACCTCCTGGGGCTCTCAGGGACATTCCAGGGCAGAGACCTCTCTGGACTATTGGAGAAGGAAATGCAGTCACAGACACAGGCGGGAAGGGTGAGGGCCCTACCCCCACGCTCCCCCATAACCTCGGCCTGGCACCTCCCCGCCGGTCTCCAGGGACAACCCAGCCCTCCACAGTTCCTTCCTGACCTCCCCCTCTGCCCCTTGGCCTCACAGTCCCTGACCAGGACCTCAGCATCCCTGGCACCCGGCTCCCTGGCTACCCTGGAGCCGTGGGACCCTGGTCCTCACCTCATACTTCTCTGGTGTCCCAGAGATGTGGAAGTCGCTGCTGTACAGGACGTGGGGGTTGTCCCCTGCCGAGAAGCTGGGGCTCTCTGTCACATTCTTTCTGCAGGGCAGGACACATCAGTCCCGGCGGGACTCTCGGGTCTCCCTCTCCCACCCCTTCTGCATGCTCTGTCTACCTTGGACTTTGGCCCCAGGAACCTGGAGTGGCTCTCACCCCTCTCTCTAAGACAGCAAACGCACTCTTCAGGATGACTAGCCTCACTGTATCCCCGGCTGTCCACCCCTCTCCGCCTCCAGGTTTCCTGCCCTGGCTGAAGATGGGCAAAGTCACGTTCCTGGAGGCAGGGAGGCCGGAGCACAGAGTGCGGGCAAACAGATCACCAATGGCCTCCAAAGGGCTCAGCCAGGCCCTCCCATGCACCCAACCAACAGTGGCACAAGGCCCATCTCCTGTCCAGAGGAACATTCTCAGAGCAGAATCTGTCCTCGCCACACTGCTCTCTCTTGCCACCTTCCCCCACACCTCTGGGAGCCTCCCCATCCCCAGCTCAGCCCAGGCAGACACTCACTTTCTTCGTGTCTGGGTGATGTAGCAGACGATGGCAATGAGGATGGCAAAGGCAACCACAGCTCCCACAGGCCCAATCTTGGCCCACATCAGTCGGTCTGAGGACAGAGAGGACCCAGGTGCCTCAGGGCTGCTGCTCAGGGAGCAAGACACCTGGGTTCTCAGGAGACAGGCCAGGGTGAGAGTCTGACATTTGCACAGCCGGCATATCCTTGCCCTGACTGGCGAACATGGAAGCTCCTGGTTGAACACGGAAGCTCTTGGTTGAACATGGGCACCATCCCTAGCTACTGGGGGGCCCCGAGTGGACTGAGGAAGAGCAGGCAAACTCAGGCAGTCCCCCATCACCAGCTACAGAGGGTCTTCTGCTACTTGGTCAATCTGCACAGCTGCCCCAGGCTCAGGATCCAAGGGGGCCCCTCCTTCCCTCAGCCCCCACCCCAAGGCCATTGTACTCACGAGCTCCCTGGAAGGGCAGTTCCAGGCTCTTGGTGCCATACGGGTTCCTGGAGGTGCAGATGACGCGGGGTGGGGCCTGGGCCTGTCCCCTCAGTGTGAGGATGCTAGTGAGCAGGAGGCCACTGCGCTCTGAGTACACGAACTCTCGCTCTGTCTCATTCACCGTCACATTGCGTGATGGGAGCTCGAAGGCCACCGATGGCTCAGGGTTGGATTTCACCACGCACAGACACTGCATTGTGTCACGGGCTGCAGCACAGTGTGACTCCAGGAGGATCATGGGGGCAACTGCAAGGTCAAGACCAAGACAGTGGGCTGGAGGCAGCTGAGGCTGAGCTGCAGGGGACTCGTTGGCAGGGCACACAGTCAGGGTGGCCAAGGGTGGGGATGGTGGCTATGTGTAGGATCCCCAGTTCCCGTGCTTTTTTCTCTGTCCTGATGGAGAAACGAGGAATGCCTTGACTACTCTGTGACCTGGCCAGCTACATGTTTTCCCTGCAAGATTGAACGCTGGACAGGGTCTTGAACATTCCCAGGCACTGATAAAGGTGTTTAGGTTATTCCCCAAAACACTGCAAAAACCACCGGCCCTGGCCCTGAGCCACAGTGAAGGCACCATGGCTCCTGCCCTCCATCTGTCTGTAAGTTCCCCTAATAAATGCTTTTTTTTTTTTTTTTTTTAGTATTGAACCAAGGGTCTTCAGTGAACTACATCCCAGCCCTGTTTATTTATTTACTTACTTATTTACTTATTTATTTTTATTTTGAGACAGGTTCTCACTAAGTTTGTAAATTGTCCAGACGGGGGTTGAACTTGTGATCCTCCTGCCTCAGCCTTCTAAAGTGGTGGGATTACAGGTGTGCACCACCACTCCCAGCTCTAATAAATACTTTGGACTGGACCACCCTGGTCTCCAGAGCTCCTTTTTTTTGGAATCCTACCTGGCCCTAGCGTGGGAAGGTTTCAGGTGCTCCCTTGTGGGAAACTCTCCTGCTGCTGCTTTTGGGGCAACTCCAGCCTCAAATTGAGCCAGAACAGAACACTATGTCACAGAGGCGAGTTTCACTTTCCCTCTGGATCATCTCTAACTTTGTTCACCTCGTTAAATGTAAGTCAGGGCACTCTCTGCTTAAAGCCCTCCTCTAGCTGCTCCCTAGGGCACTTAGAATAAAATCTAAATTCTCTCTCCTCTCCCCCTGGTTCCTTCCTTTCCAGCTGTACTGGCCTCCTTGCTATTTCTCAGGCTCATGGATTTTCTTCCCACCCTAGAGGCTGAGAACTCCTCCTTCCTCCTGCAACACTCCTTTGGGTACCTGCCTAACCCCCTCCCTCTCTCCTTTCCTCCACAGGAAGGTCTCTACCCAGGTGACATCTCTGACCTCCACAGAAACCACCTCGCTTCACGCCTCACTCACTCCCTGCCTGGGTTTTCTCCCAAGTGCTTATCCCCACCCAGGTTATACACTGACACGGTTGGTCCCTCATTTCTGTCAAGGTGGAGCCTTGCTCCATCTCTGCTCTGTTCCCCACACTTGGGATGAACTATTGGATTCTCATGGCTGCAGGGTCTCACCCACAGACCCAGCCTGCTGCCTCCTTCCAATACCCGCCCTCCCCCTTCAGTCCACTGCAGATGCACCCCATATGTTTCTTCTGGAGGGCGGCTTGAATCCTGGTCCTCCCTGCCCCATGGGACTCCCACTGCCACCAGCACCAAACACTACCCTCCACCTATGGTCACACTGTTGAGCGTTGCTTTGCTATCATTTAATTGCTAAAACAGTACTGGGATGTTTCTTCTTTCATTTTCCAAAAGATGAGATTATATTAAAATGTCAAATGTTGCTTCTTAAACTATATTCTTTATCCCTTCTGGAGAGTCCAGCACCCTTCTCTGCCTGCCCTGGACTGAGCACTGTATCTCCAATAGTTCTAACCTGAATCTATTTACAAAGCTCCTCGGCCTACTCACTCCACCTATTTTCAATTTCCAGAAAAAATGAATGTGTATGAACAGCAATGGGCCGGGAAGTCACATGAGCAGATATATTCATGCCAGCAACGATTCCAGTTGGAAGCTCAGTGCATACATTTCTAAGTCTACTAAATAAAAAAATGACAGGCCCTAAATGCTGTTTAGACAAATGTGCACTATACTTACTGTACTGTCGATCAATCAATCAATCAACACACCTCAAACCAAACTAATACAACAAATGTGAACCAACAGAAATTGAACCTGGTCAAAACCCCTCCACTCAAGAGAGCCCAGGTGGCACTCTGGTGACAAGTGTCCGCCCTGAACGATGTGTGGGTGGTGATGCCAACACCCTACCGGTGCCTGTGCCTGGTATCTGTGCAGCCTTATGGGCAACCTAGAGAGCTATGAAGCCCTGACAATGCTAGGTGAACCTCTAGAGGCACAAAGGATAAGGGCTTTGAGTGCCAGCTCTGCCATCTACTGGCTGGGTGAGGCCACTCGGTTTCCCTGCACTTTGACATCTGTACAAACAGAGGTTGTAGTCTTTAACTTAGAAGGGGCCACAGGAAGTCAGGCTCAGGAGGGCATTGTGAGCACTTAGCACCCACCTGGGTGCTTATGGTTAGGGAGACAGAAACATCCTCAAAGAAAGCCTTAGTCCTCACAACCATCCTGCTGATGAGACACTGTGTCACATCCTTTTTCATAGGAGAGAACTGAGGCTCAGCCAAAGATAGGTCACTTGCCTGGGATTTTAGCAAGAAGGGGACAGAGAGAAAAAAAAAAAAAAAAAGAAGGGGACAGAGCTGGGATTCTGACCCAGTCCTGCTCAGTTCCTTCTCAGTTAAGGGTAATGGACAGCAGTAACACTTCAGTTTCCTTCTATCAAATGGGGTGCCCTCTCCCCAGTCATGTAGCTGTGAGAACAAAGTAAGTCAGTCCAGACACCATGCTAGACTAGTTCCCTGCACGTCACCAGGAAGGGTGACTGGCTTCTGGGTGCCCCACTTCATGCTGGACCCTGTGCTTAGCAGGACAGGGGTCCCTGCTCAATGGAAAGCCCTCAGAAGTCTGGAACAGTTCCTGATCTGACCACCCTACCTAGCTCCATGGCTTCAGGGAATTCTGACCTTTCATTTTCTTCTCAGTTAAAGGAGATGATGATGACAAACAGCAATCACAAGGAGAGGGCAAGATAACACATGCAGAAGATTGGATTCGATGCCTGGCCCAGGGCAGGCCCAGAAGTGGTGTTGCTGACCTGCTCTTATGACACAGGAGGATGTGAGACTCTCCTGGAAAGAGAGGTGGGGTGGTGGTGTATGTACATTTTGGGGTGCCCCTCAGACTCTCAGGAGGTCCTCTGACTCTTTTTTTGGTACCGGGGATCCGGCAGAACCACTGAGCTAAATCCCCCAGCCCCTACTCTGACTCTTAAACCTAAGCCAGCCACCTTGGTGTACACCTGTAACCCAAGCCCTCTAGGAGGCTGAGGCAGGAGGACCACAAGTTCGAGCCCAGCCACAGCAACATAGCAGCTTAACAAAACTCTGTCTCAAAATTTTAAAAAGGTGGGAGTGTAGCTCAGTGTGAAAACTGCAAAACAAAAGAAAATAATAACCAAAGAATTACTGGTTTGGGGAGTAACCGAGGGAAGGGTACAGCAGAGTGGGGAAGGGTGCAGCCCAGGAGAGCAGGTATGAAGAAAGCAGAGTACTATACACCATGATCATTGGAGGCTGTGAAGGGGTAGAGGCGAGGAGGGATGATGCCCATAGTCAGTAGATCAGCAGAAAAGCAGGTAGCCCACCATGGCTTGGCCGTGCAAAATGGCACTCCAGGAACAATCTGCACTGGCCGTGTCCTGATTACTGCCGTGTCCAGAGTCCCGAGCATGAGCCGTGCACCAAACGCTTATGCATTGATCTCTGAACTTTCTGGCAAACCATGATGGGGGCTGTGGTAGACAGAGTAACTGAGGCCCAAGAGGTCAAGTTTGAGACTAATGCCAGAGCTGGGCAGAGCTAAGGAGGAAGCAGGGGAAACGAAAGTGCAGAAGGAATATTCGAGAAGGAGTTGCTTGAGAAAAAGGAGTGGAAATGTGACTTGGCTGCTATAACCTAGAGTGACGGCCATGAGGGGAGGGTGAGGTGGGGTGGAGGGCGCTGCCCATATAAGGGAGGTCAAAAGAGGTGCTGGTCTGCAGGGAATGATGGGTGGCATGGCCAAGACAGAAGCCTCCTACAGGCACCCATCACTTCTCTCTAGCTGTCCTCGGTCTGTTAACAAGCTTGGTGTCTTCTCCCTGCCACAGAATCGCACAGCCCTTTGTACACAATGAATGACTGCTCAGTCAATGTTTCCTGATGTTATAACACAAAATGAGGTCATCTCTGGGCAGTATAGAAGTGTGGAACCAGATCACTTGCATCTGAATCTCAAATTCTGCCATTTCTTAGTCGTGTGACCTTGGGCGAATGGCATAAACTCTCTGGACCTTGGTTTCCTCCTCTGTAGACTAGGCACCACTAATAGGACCTCTTTCATGCAGACGTCATGAGGAAGGGATGAATGGGTCCCTGTACAGTGCTTCCAACAGTGCTTGCTAAATAGCAGTGCTTCACGAGGTTAGATTTTAGAGTCACTGTTTTAGTTAGTGGAGAGGGCAGGTCATCACAGGATCCTGGGATCTCCTTGGCCAAAAGCTGATCCCAGGAAGCAGAAACAGTATTCTCAGAGGGGATTGGTATTTTCTTCCTGTGGATTCAGCTTCCCTGCCATTCCATCCTTGTCTGCTGGTGAAAACAGGCAAAGCTGTGACCTAGGTGTCCCATACCAGTCCCTCTGGCACCAATGAGAAGGGGTGGGTACTCACATTCCACGGACACATTGAAGACTGTGGTCTTCTGGCCGTACTGGTTCTCAGCCACACACAAGTACTCCCCGTCATCCTCGGGTGTGACTGCCGGCAGCTCCAGCTGCAGCTCACTCTCATAGATGACCGTGGCCAGGATCTGATTCTCCTTGAAGATGGTGAGAATAGGGTCTGGTTTGCTCTGTGTGGAGCACAGGATGGAGACTGTCTCCCCCTCCACAGCTACCATTGTTCCATTCACTGTCGGCTTCCAGGGTGCATCTGAAGGACAGGACAAGTGACTGTTGGTCAGAAACCAGGTGGTGTTGCTGCCTCTGCCAGCCAACACCCACCCCTAAATGTGATCCCTGACACCCCAAACCTGTACACACGTTCAGGATGGCTCAGGTGACCCCAGTTCTGGGTGCCTTGTTTATGTGAATACTGATTCTGAAGCCAGAATCTTCGGATCTGGAGCTATGTACCCCTTCCCAGCTGGGTATGGATCCATGTCTTGACCAGAGAGACTCAGTTTTCTCATCTAGAAAGTGGGCTTAATGATAATTCTAATCTCATTGAGCATTCACTGAGAATCTGCTGAGTAATAGGTACTGTTCTAGCTTAAATAAGGGCCATGTGAGCAGATAATAAATAAATAAAATATATTTGCAAAGTGGGGATAAGTACTGTGGAGAAAAAGAAAGGGTTGGAAGGAGCAATCAGGGGAGAATTAGTTTTAAACAGGATGGTAAGGGCAGGCTTCCAGGAGGCCAGGAGCTGGGCAGGGAATGTCTGGGGGGAAGAGCATACGGATAAAGCCCTCAGAAATGCTGAGGAGACATTGGCTGTGGTTGTCATTATTATTCCCAGCTCTGGGCACTTTGCCTCAATAAGTAAGTAAGGATGGATGGACAGATGGATGGACAGATGGATGGCCTCTGCTTGGTTCCTGGCTAAGAGTCCAGTTCTGACAGCACCCCCAGCCTGTGTCCTGAGGTCTCCTTTACTCTCCTGACAGATTGACAACTGAGTGTGGTGGTACAAGTCTATAATCCCAGCAGTCTAGGAGGCTGCGGCAGGAGGACTGGCAAATTTGAGTCCAGCCTAGGCAACACAGTAACTTAGTAAGAGACTCTGTCTCAAAATAAAAATGTTTGAAAAGGGACTGAGGATGTAGCTCATGTGAAGGCCTTGGGTTCAATCACCCGTACTGGAGGGGGGGGGGCTGAGCTTTTTTTCTTTATTTCTGGTACTGGGGATCAAATCCAGAGGCATTCTACTACTGAACTACTGTGCTACAGTCCCAGCCCTTTTTATTATTTTTTTTTTTCACTTTGAGACACGATTTTGCTAAATTTCCCAAGCTGCCCTCAAACTTGGCGATCCTCTTGCTGCGGCCTCCTAAACACCTTGCCTAACACAACTGGGCTCATTTTAAAATGCAGATTCCTGGGCTGGGGTAACTCGGTGGTAAAGTGTGAGCTTTCCATCCCTAGCACCAGGGAAAAGAAGAAAAAGGAAGGAAACGGAGGGAGGAGGGGAGAAGGGAGAAGGAGGAAAGAAAGGAAGGCAGATTTCAGGGGCCAGGGCCAAATCTACTCTCGGACCAGCTAGGGGCAGAACCTGTATTTAATAAGCTTTCCTAAGTGGTGAGGACCAATTGTGTCTTCTAGTCTTGTCCTCTGCTGCAAAACAAGTGCGCACCAGATACCTGTGGCAGGAATGAAGAAACACGTTGACAGGCTCCTTCCCTTCCATCTTGTCCCCCATGGTGTTTATGGCAGGTCCCCTTTCCCTTTATCTGTCCCCTGCAGAGGTGTGTGGCATACAGGGCAGGGACTCACACATGACGCTGAGCTCCACGGTGCGGTTCTCCTGGCCATAGGAGTTCTCTGCCAGGCAGGCGTAGACTCCGTCCTCCACCGGGCTCACCTCCTCCAGCTCCAGGTACAGGCTCTCGGCCACCGCCTCCCGGAGCACCGTCCCATCCCGCATCCAGGTCAGCAGCGGCAGCGGGTTGCTGTCAGCCCCACAGACCAGGCTGACGTGGGTGCCCTCGATGGCCTCCACAGAAGAGTTCATCTCCACGATCACCGGGGGGTCTGAGGCCATGACACGGGTCAGTAGGAGGGCGATGCGGCAGACCGGCCCCGCCCCCGGCCCTCTCCGACCCCGCCCCAGCGCATCCAGACCCCGCCCGGTCCCGCCCTCAGCTCATCCTGGTCCCGGCCCGGCCACGCCTCCCGGCCCGCACCCTGGCTCACACTTGACATCCAGGCTGGCGTAGCCCTCGAACTGCAGGGTAGTGTTGGGGAAGGCGGCCTGGCAGCCCAGTCGTTGTCCATTGACCTCCCTAGTGGGCACGAAGTGCAACAGCGACACCTGCACCCAGGTACCCTCTTCCTCGCGCAGCCGACCCAGCACACTCGGCTCCCCCAGCTCCTCGTGGCCCAGCCAGGTCAGCTCAGGCCGCAGTTCCGGGCAGTTGTCTGGCACCATGCAGCTGATCTCCACTTCCTTCCCTGCCACCACCTCCGGGGGCACCACGATGTTGGGGGTGTCTATGTGAGGGGGAAAAAGAAGAGCTGAGGAGGCAGCATTGGGCTGCCAGGCACCTCCACCTTGTCCAAATCCATCCCTGGTACCTTGTCCCCTCCTGAGTGCCTGGACACTCAGTTCCCCACATCCTTCTCTTCTCTTGATTATCCTTCACCCAGAAGCCCTAGCACAAGTGATCAGGTGCAACAATAATGTGACCAACAACCTAGTGGCTCAGTGAGTGCTGGTGGGCTTAACCTGCCTGTCCTTCTAACATTGCTAAAGAGCGGGTGTGACTAGGATGCTCATTTTGCAAATGAGGAAACTGAGGCCATGTAGGCTTGGAACCTGTCACTCTGGCCCCAGCCTCTGTGCTGTGGACACTCTGTTATATTCCCTAAGAAATCTCCCTCCAGTGCTTGCTTTATTTTACCTGTGTGTGCGTGCGTGTGTGTGTGTGTGTGTGTGTGGTTTATGTATATGTGTGGCATATGTGTCAGTAGTTTGTGCGTTGTGTGATGTGTGTGTGTTGTGCTTGTGTGGTTTCTCTGTACACCCAGACTATAATCTGGTTCCTCTTTGAGGAAACTGAATCTGAGAGCTGCAATCAGCAGGGCCCCTAGAAATTAAGCAGTAGGAATATCTGCAGTCAGGCTCTGGGCTCTGTTTTGATAGCCAGAATTGCAGTGCATGGGCCTTGCACATGCTAGGCAAGTGTTCTACCACTGAGCCACATCCTGGCCCAGGATTTTTTTTTTTTAAACATAAATCAGCAGCCAATATTTAAGAATTAGGAGACTACACTGAAAAAAACCTCACAATTTGGGGTTCCTTCAAAATTCTGAATGCCTGACACCAATGACCCGGTGCTCTGACAGCCAGAGTTGGGTGCTATGTGCCAGGCACTGCCCAGAGCAACCATTCACTCATTGGCTCTAAGTGCTATTCTTATCTTCATTTAACAGAGGCCAAAGTCAAGGCCCTAGGAAGTTAAATAACTTGCTCAAGGTCATGTAGCTAATGCCGGGATCCAGAGGCTTTGCCCACAACACTGGGCACCACTGCTTTTAGCTCCAGATGTTTCCAGGAGAATAAAAGCAGTCATTTTCCTCTGAGGGCAGCAAAACTATTTGGGGCCCTTCTCTGCTCTATTCTATTATCTCCAAGGTCCATGGGGGCACTGAGGTTGCACCCCTAGCCATGTCACCCCTCCTGTGTCTGCCATCTGGACCTCCGGGGACAGGAGCAGAGCACAGACTGCCACACCCTGGCCCACCTCGGTGCTGCCATCACCCCCTCGCTGCCCACCCAGCCTCTGGGGAACTCACTGATGATGTCCAGGACGCTGTGCTCTGAGAAGGTGTACTGGTTGTAGCCGCCCAGGTCCCCTCGGAAGTAATACTTGCCGCCCAGTTCCGGGCTGAGGGTGCCAAGCAGGAGGGTGCAGTTTCGCAAGCCTAGGTCCCCCAGCAGGCGGCTGCGGCCCTGGAAGCTCTCGTGGACAACTTGAGTTCGAGACTTGAAGACCACCGGGGGGTAGTTCTTGGGGTAGGGGCTGTTGAAGTACCACACTCCGTGCACCACAGCTGGCCGGAGCTCATCAGGGAAGTCGAAGCGGCAGGGGATGGAGACGCACGTGCCCTCGAAGGCCGAGATGGATGAGGGCATCCAGGCACCCCAGTGACCTCCTCTGGAGGCTGTGGGCAACCAGGACCACCAAGGCTGAGAGATGTGCCCCACCTGATTATCCCCTCCAACTCCCATCACCTCCACTGGCCTAGGGGCCCTGGGACCAAGGCTTAGAACCCCCAGTACCCCTCACCATAGCCATTACCTGAAATCATAATCCAGAACATAGGCAGTGCTGTGAGGAATATCATTTTGTATAGCAAGTAAGCAAGCCGGAGCTGGACAGAAAGAGGAGCAGGTTAGAGGCCAGGGAAGTGAAAGGCGGAGCTTCCTGAAAGGCTTAGGAAGAGACCCTTGTGGAGCTTAGCTGCTGCTGCTCTCATTTATGATCACAAGCCTGTTTGTGACACTGGCCATATGCCAGGCTCAGTACCTTGGTCTACTATATTAACTCCTCTGATTTCTTTGAGGTAGGTGCAAACATTATTCTCATTTTATAGCTGAGGTCCAGAGAGAGCAAGTAAATTGCTCAAGGACACACAGCTGCTCTGTAGTCTTAGCCACCAAGCTGATAATAATCGCCACCAACATTATGCTCCTGGGGATCTGCAGGAACCAAGGACAGAGCCAAGGCTAGCCAGCAGCAGGAAATGGGAAGCAAGGGAAATCAGGAAGAAGGGGAAATTGGTACCCTGACCCTTACCTCGGTCTCCCTGAGTTGGGAATATCTTCCAGTGCCACTTGGGGCTGTTAGTCAGCCAACCTGGAAGGAGTCAGACAGGGCATGGGGCCCTGAGTCCTAAGTGTCCCTTCCTTTAGGTTGCCACTATGGGTTATGATTTGTGCTAAGGTTGTCCATGTGGTCTCTATTGCCCACGATGCCTGGGACTCTCCCACACAGCCACAAAGCTCCTCCATAGCACACACACACCCCCAGGTGGGATGTGGGGGAGCTATCAGGAGGGGATGGGGAGCAGTGGCGTCAAGTGGAAGGGCAGGGGGCATGGTGAGTGGGGTAAAGGAGCAGATGCCCCACGGCTGAGGCCTGGGGGTGGCAGGCAGGAACCCAACCTCATCAATGACTGGGTTTCACGACATCAGAATTCCCAACATGCCGAGTGAATTCCTGCCGCCCTCTCCTACCCCGCAGCCGGCCCCTGGTGTCCCAGCCCTCAGCAGAGGCTAGTGCCCAGTACAAAAGAACCCTGTTCCTCAAGGCGAGGGAGCCTCATCCTGGGGGCTCCTGGGGTAGGTGGGTTGTGAGAGGAGTCAGTGCTTCTGACCAGGCTCTGAGTGGGGCCAGGGAGGTCTCGGGGCCAGTGAGTCCTGATCTCCGGCTGCTCCTTCGGTTGCCTCAGGGTTGGAGCCAGGATTTCCAAGGGGCCAAATTTCCCAGCCTTTGCTGCCCTCTTCCCACGGACACAGATGCATGCACAGACGGAACATTGCAAACACTGGCATGAAATGTGACAGCCAGGAGCAGCTCACACAATAGAGACACTGAGGACACTACCAGCACCAAGCCTCTGTGTCCACAGAGCTGTGCTGCCACTTGCTCAGTCTCCCTCTTGTGCACCACAACCTGGGCAGACCTAGGCACGGCATTCAGGTGCACACCTGCTGCCTGTGAACCATGCTCACAAGACACCGGGACCTGCACATGCACCGTGAAGTGTAACTATGGACCCAGGCACAAGCCAGCAGACACATGGCAGATGTGGCCCTTGTACCTGCAATGGCAAAGCACAGGAGACAGATGCAGGTGAGGACCAGCCGCGCAGCCTGGGCAGACACGGGAAATAAGCATGTAGACCATGCGCTCTTACTGGGTTGGACAGAGGGTTAGGGTGGGGATCCAAACAATCTTGGCTATGACCATGGTCTGCAGCTCTCTAACAGGCCACAGTGCCTAAACATGTAGTCAGACTGTCTGCAGGGCTGAGCTGGCAAGCAGGGAGAGTAGGAAAAACGCATCTACAAAGATCCTTTACTGGAGTGTAATGAGAAAAGTTGAGAAACACTGATAGAGATTAGATTGCAAGGGAGGTGTGTACACACACACACACACACACACACACACACACACACACACTGTGCACTCAGGTGCCAGAATTTGCCTGTTCACAGCCCACTGCCCTCACCACCTCCCAGATTGCAACATGCAGGGGGCTGATCACCTGAGCATTCTGTTCTTTGCCAGCCCTAGACCACTGCCACTTCATCTGTTCCAAACTTAGGGGCCCCAGGAAAGTTGCTGCCACAGAACCTCCTACCATGAGGTGCACCAGAGGTGTGCCAAGGAGGGTCCCTTGCGCCTTCTTCCTGAGGTTTCTTCCCAAAGCCCCATCACTGTCCCCACCAGGGTCCCTGCCCATTTTACAGCAGTCCCAAGAAGTTCTGGGACCCATCCTAAATTAGGGTTATTTGCAGAGACCCTCCACCGTCCAGAGCCCCTCACCCCTTGCGCATGCTCTGAGCAACACTCAGCTTGTCCACTTGTCCCTCCAGGGTGCTCTGCCCTCCCGGTGCACGGTGCTCTCCACCTCTGTACTCACTCGGATGCTCTGGCTTCGGCACCCTCTGCTCCGACAGGCGGGCTCACAGTCCCCTGGCCTCCCAGGGTCTAGGCCCCCACTTCCCTCCCTCCCCTCCTCCTGGGTGCCAGGGGCCGCCTGCCTCCAGGGCCCAGCTCCTCCCTGCCCCCGGTGGGAGGGGGGCACAAAGGGGCCCTTGTCACCACGGGGCTTGGACTGGGCGGCCTGATGCCTGGGTTCTATGAGCTTCTTCCTGAAGGGGATGGGGGCTGCCTCACTCCTTCCCTCCTCCTCCATCACTGTAAACCCCAATTCCGGGCCCCTGGCAGGAATGGTGGCTAATCTCTCTGGAAGTCCCAAACTGTGGGACAGAAGATATCGTCCTCAGGGAATTGGTGGCAACATTACATGCGACCCTAATCCTGAGAAACAAGCAGAGGCCAGTTTGGGCAGGAGGAGGCAACAGCTGCTTCCCTACCTCGACTTCAGTGTCACCTCCATCTGCCATGTCTAGAATCACGGCCCCACCCCAGCCCACCCCCAGCTGTCTTGGTCTCTTTTCCTCCTGGCTCTTCTTGCTGTCCCAAATGACCTGATGTGTTAACTGCCTCCTCTCCTGAGAACACAACCCCCCGGGGACCAGGGCTTTATCTGTGTTATTCCATGTCTGTCCCTGCTTGTTAATACACATGGAGTGGGTGACCAAATGTGTTCCTTGAATACCCAGTGGTGGCACCTGTTGCTCCTCCTTCCTGGGAAGCTGTCCCCAACCCACCTCATGACCCACTCCACCCCTAGCCACAGCCTCTTTGCACTTGCTCTTGGATGTCACATCCTCAGCAGGCCTTCCTTACCTGCCCCTTGACTTAAATGATGTCCTTTCCTTCCTTGGAGTTCAGCCTGTTCCCTGATTCCTACCTTGCCTGGAGTCCTCAGAGTGCAGGGCTTTGGTCAAAATCCGTCTGTCTGTCCATGCACCCTTGGGTCCCTAGGGCAGTGCTTGATGCACAGGAGGCTGTCTGGCTCTCTGAGTGGGTGAGGACCCCCCGGGTGTAGATATGGTGCCCTTTCCCTTGGTGTGAACTCTGCGAGGTGGGTGGGGGTGCTGGGGATGGTGTGAGCATGAGCAGCAGTGCTTAGACATGAGAAGTTCAGCAGGCCGGAGCAAAGGGGAGGTGGGGGAGGGAGGGTCCTTTCTCCCAAGGGAGGACCCGGGTGAGGGGTGGGGAAATCCCTTGGGACCAGGGAGCAGACAGGGGGGGGGGGGGGGGAGTCCCGCCCCCACCTTGGGCTTCATGATGTCAGACTCTGCCCGTGCCTTTCCCAGTCTGGGACAATGGCCCATTGAAAGTGGGGTGCAGCTTGAACGCCTGGATCCTGGAGAAGAGAAAGGCCTGGTGCCTGGGCTTTGGGGCAGAACACAGAGATCCAGGGTAGTCTGTGTCTCAGCCTTGCATCCACACAAACCTGGCTGGGTGGTTGCCTGTGCGGCTGAGACTGCCTGTCTTCTCTGGGGATGACCGCAGGCCACTCCTGGGGGGACGGATGCACAGGCCTGTGTCCCACAGAGACAACCTGGGCTCCAGCCTGCAGGAGTGAGCCAGGCTGGGGTAAGAGCAAGTGAGGGAAGGCGACGGGGGCTGCAAAATGAGAGCGCAGGTGTCCTGTCCAAAGGGGGCAGTCAGCAGGCAGACCCAGGGGCCAGTGCTGCCCGATCAGCCAAGTGTTTGAGAGAAAGCAGGTGTATTAGTTTGCTAGGGCTGCTGTAACAAAGGACCACAAACCGTGTGGTTTAAAAACCAGAATGGAAAAAAAAGAAAAAGAAAAAAATAAAACAAAACCAGAAGGAAGCCAGGTGTGGTGGTGGACGCCTGTAATCCTAGTACTCAGGAGGATCACTGAAAGTTCAAGGCCAGCCTGAATTGCAAAGTGAGACTCTGTCTCAAAAAAAAAAAAAAATACGAAAAGAAATAAACAAAAACAAAACCAGAATGTGTTGTCTTACAGCTTTGGAGGCTTGAGTTCCAAATCAAGGTGCTGGGAGCACAGGAGGAGATGTGTGCCAGGCTTGCACATAGTCGTCCTCACGTTCCCGTGCCTTCCGTCTGTGTGTGTCTCTGTCCAGATTCCCCCTTTCCTCAGACACCAGTCAGACTGGACTAAGACCCAATAACGGTCCCATTTACCTTGACTACCTTGGTAAAGATCCTCCCCGCAAACAAGGCCACATTCTAAGGTAATGGGGGCAGGACTTCAGCATGACTAGTCAGCCCATACCAGCAAGAATTCTTTTTGTGAAATGTCCTGATTTTCAGTTTTATCTATTGACAGGGAGACTGAAGCTCTGAGTGTCTTTCTCAGAACTCAATACTTCTTTTTTTTTTTTTTTTTTACCAGGGATTGAACTCAGGACTTGCGCTTGTGAGGTAGGCGGCGGAACCACTGAGCTAAATCCCCATCCCAATATATTGACTTTATTCCTCCAGATACAGACCAAAGAGTGGGATAGTTGAGTCATATGGTAACTCAATATTTTTTTTTTTTTTTTTTGG